CGCAATGCAAAGGAAGTACAAGGACATGAAGACGGCGACGAAGTGGGAGACTTCTCCACATCGGCTTACGACCCCAGTCGAAACAGCCGCGCTACTGATAAGCTCTGGGCTCGTGGACCCTAACGCACAAGTGCCCACAATCTCCGAGGCCGCCATTAAGACTTCCGCAGGTGAAAATCAACAATGGCCTGGGTCTCCCACCTTCCATCTCAGAAATGATCGAGGCAGAACACCAACTTTCCAGCGGAAAAACACCGGGGTCCGACGCAATCCCGGCCGAAGGCTGAAAACATGGTCACCGACTAATGGAAAGGGCCAGAACGCCTTTACGGATGTACCGGTAAGGAGAATTCAAGGACGCAGCAGTCGTCCGTCTCCATGAATGCGCAGGAACCGACAGTTCACTGACGATGACAGGAAAACCCCACTGCTTAAAATTGCCGAAAATATTTTTACCCGCATTTCCATCAAATCAGCAGGCACACTGAATAAGGATGCCCTCCGAAATCAGTGGGGATTTCGACAGATCCGCGGCACCTTCCACCAGATATTTGTCGCCCGAAAACTGAATAGAAGACGCAAAATGCAAACCAGCCTCTTCGCTACCTTTGAGAGTCTGGCAAATCAACCCGGTGACTCGGCAGGACGTCGCCGGAGATCGGTCGGTCGGGAGAGGAGCAGTAAAGACTGAAGCAGCAATCTACGAAGCTAACCGGATCGTCGTCGTCAAGGTCAAAAGAGCCGCCTGCGCAACGGAAGCTCAAGACTAGCAGGACACCACTTGGGAAGTGCTTACGCTGTCAACCAACGTTCTGCCGGCACAATAGCCTCATCATACATCTTCGAATTCAGTGAAACAAAAACAGGACAACGCCGAATGTTACCTCCGAAAACGCCTCCACCGTCAATCCGACCACAACCCCCACAATGAGGACCACCACCGATGCGCAAGCTTCCAAAGGACCGGCCAATGCCGCTGACCGCCAACGCGGCCATAATCCCGCGACGACGGCGGCCACCTTCCCCACCTCTACACCAGGCGATAATCTCCCTCCACAACCCGCCAACCACCAGAACTGCGGATTCGAGAACAACCTCACCTCATTGAGGCCGCAAATTCACATCACGCATCGGCCTAGTCAGTCAATTGCAAACCCATCGTACTGAGACCGGCGAAGTAGTGGCCGGAGGCAGAGCCCGTCGCATCCGCCTCAGCTGTCCACACCGTCGATGCATACTCGGTCATCGCATGGGCACGCCCGGCCCCATACACATCCACATCAGAGGACATTGTCATAATGTCATGCCAAACCAACCTTGGGCATCTGACAACTCTCCATCAACGTCAATGCCGCCACCAAGGCAACAGCTACCGGCCTAGTATGCTTCACTGTCCTCGACTCTGCGCATCACAAATGGGCTTCGGCATCCACTTGCAAAGCAATCGTACAGGAGCACCAACATTTGCCGACAGCACCCCCCTCAACCGCTGCTCACACGCAATTGCCGCATAGGCCTACCGGACCACACATATACTTTTCCACAGAAATCTGGTAAAACGACGCAGACGGAGCCTCAGCACATTTCTCCCCACCAGCCAGTCCAACATCACCCACCGCAAGGACGGAACACGCGTTCCCTTATCTGCGGCTTCCGTGAAACTCTCGCGTTTGTGAGATACGGGCCGCCCGCCCTAATTTGTGCAAACTAGGTGAGCTGGGCAGGGCGCCAAGTCGTGCGTGGAACGCGAAGACGTGACATCTAGCGCCGCCGGTCCTTTGTGCTCAACGCACACCACCAGACGACTGATTAGCTCGGACATCCAACCGGTGGCAGTCTGACTCATCGTACGCAGACCAGGCATATGCGTGGAGCTCTAGCCTTGCCGGCCAGCACATCCGATCTCGCCTCCGGCATTCTTAACCCCGTCTCGACAGCGTGCTCGGGTAGACAATATGCAAGTGCGTTTTCACAATGTCCGTAAGCTGGTACTCAGCACATTATTATTATCATCCACGTAAAGACAACCGTGCCCGAACCTACATTGTGTGGCACGCGGTGTACGTTGTCGCTCGCGACGGGCGAACATTCGTGTTCAGCACGGCAGCTGAGGGACTCAGTTATGCCCTTGCTGCTCCGACGCACCTGTCCGTTCCACCTTCAGGGAAAACTAATCGACGCACAGTGAGGACGGTCAGAATCTACAGCGTCTACAGGGCGGTCACCGAGCAGTCCACGCGAATAGCCACACTACACCCTGTGAAACGCAAGAAACTTGGTTTCTAGATGTAAGGCCAAAAATAACCAAACCCGATGGTAGAACTCATTGTCTTTATAGCAACGTCATCATCTACATCGCAGGCCAGAGGACGGAGGCCGACACAGCCCACGGAGGTGAGATTCGAAAATATCGTCCAGGGAGAGGCAGTGGAACCTACTTATCGACCTGTCCGTCATGGGAATGAAAACGACTCGAGGCAGCAGTGAACGCCCGCCGGCTGTTCAAACAGGTGGGCAAGAAGCCATCCGGTCAACTATCAGGTGGCCGGTCATTGTAGGTGCAGACCAACGAAGACAACCCTACGCACACTCGTTACACTTGAGATCTTCATCCTACATACTTAACCTGCCCACCCCTCCAGAGGACACCAAGACGGAGGAGGTGCATGCTGGCAGGAGGAAAGCAGCTACGCAAGAGTTCTCGTGTGAAACGCAGCAAATGCGCTGGGTATGACTCTCCCCTTCAAACCCGGGCCGGCCTAAGCCATGGCCTTACACAACTGAGGCAAGAGAAGCTAACTGGGTCTCAAAGGTACTTCACGTGACTGCTCGCCACGATCTCTAGCAATGGAAGTGATGATATCCACTGACGACCCCTAATAAATCCACACCTCCCATCACAGAGGGGGCACTTTGAACAAGAAGTGTTATTTAAAAAAGAAAAACTGTTGAAGAAAGCCAATCTATCACGTCTGTAAATTAAGGTAGACAGAATTACAACTAAGGTGCAAGTCAACTCAGTTGATAACATCACGGAGATAAGAATGTCCGCGGACTGGTCGACAGTGATAATTGGGATGCAGATGCAGGCACTTAGGGGGATTTAAGCGCACAGAAGAAGCTGCGTGCAGCGCAAGAGAAGCGACTAGCAGGGGCACACACACAGACAAGCCACACACTTTCTCCCTTCATCTCTCTCCAATGGGTCCTGACGCCCGGCTGCCGAAAGTGGGGTGGTTGGAGGCAGACTCCACCAAGGTGGAGCGAGGGGACAGGAAAGGGGAGAAGAACGAAACGCTGCCGGTATAGACGGCTTCACAGGCGTCGACCCAGGTTCCCGAGCCAACCCCCAGCGGGTAGACCGTGCAGGTACGCCATTGCAGATCCCAGTGAAACCACCGGTATACGTTCGGAGTGTTGGCTGCCTGGGGCCCGCTGCTCATTCACATGGTCCCTCGCACGCAAACAATTGCAGCTAAAACCCCCCTAAACAACTGCATTAATTTTTGAATGGGGAGGGGGCATCCGCTGACGGGATGTAAATCACGGCATCCAGTTCAGTCTTCGGTGATGCATTGATGATGCTTCCCAAAACTACGAAGTAAAGTTCGCAAATACCATTATGCTCACAAAATGGAAAAAAATCGTAACACATCCTGGGATATCGAACGCGGTTCCTCGAAAAGCACAAGTATCATCCGGGCCCTACTTTCGTCCGGAATCAGTTGGGAGATCCCACATGGTCAGACTCTCACAGGAGAATCGCAGGAGGAATTGGGGCGCAGTGACAGTGGTTTTTGCGGCCGAGAAATGCTTGTTTCTGGCGGCGTCTTCATTTCACTGGTGGACGCAAAGTCACAAATCAATTTTTTGAACGGCTGTAAATGAAAAGGAGGAAAATTAAAGCGCACCCAGACTCCAAATGACAAATGCTAACGCACTGAACAGTGACTCATAAGTGTGGAAGACATGAATATTAAGCATAACAAGTGGGAACAGGTAAAAACACCTCGCCTAGAAAGCAGGTGAAACGGAAAGCAATCTACCTGAGTGGCTTATCCGTCGGAGGAGTTAAGACAGAGTAGGGCTGTCCACCGCAGGGCCACTAGAACCTCTGTGCCGAGGAGAAAATATCGCTGAACCAAGTCCGCGCATGAAGATGGCTTACTCCTCCATGGACCCCAGGAAAGCCGAAGAGGACACACTTGAGAAAATCTGGTTAGTTGACAGCGGACGGTCAGTAGAGCAATTCAGTCAATAGCCACTTTGAAATTTAATTCTACAACAGCGGGCTTCTTAAAATCTCGGTTTGGAACTGTACCCCGCGTCCTGTACTTCGGCTTTCGTTTCCACTGTATTAGCGTTTGAGTAAGTGGAATCACAGTGAGGGAAGGTAATCGTGTTGTTAGACAGCAATCTTCCTTCGCACCAGTTACAGTGAAAATATGCACTGGGTAAGAAGCTATGTAAAGCCGTCCAAACGGCTTTGGCAAGAAAAGGGGGATGTCAACTCCCAAATTCACACAGCCAATCAGGAAGCTTCGTGAGATGCAGAAATGACGCAAGTGGCTGTGGAATCGCTGGGTTGGGATGCGTGACAGTTGAGAGAAAAGCCTACGTTCAAAGTCAGGTCATCAGTCTTCTTGTCGAACTGCTACGGACTGGAAAGACTTGACTACACACTCGAAAGTAGTGTTGAAGACCACTCGACCACCTGCGTGCACCAACAATACTTAAAAACAGGTCAGTATGTCTTAAGGGTAATAGGCAATGCCTTTGAAAATCCTATTGGAAACAGCACATGCAATATCTAACTATAAATAGCCACGGTACTAAATGTTGTCAGTAATATATATATCTTACATAATATTGTCCTTAAGAATGCAGGACCGAAACCCGACAACACCCAGTCATGGGTGATAACGGTAAAATGAAATGGCAATCATCCACATTAACGGAAGGTGTATGCTGCGATCTACAAGCACGGTAGCCCCCAACTAATGAATCACCTGACTGCGCTCTTCAAGGTGATGTGGCGTCAAGGAGAAGTCCCGCAGGGTTTCAAAGACGCAACCATCGTGCATCTCTACAAGCGGAAAGGGAATCGCCAAGTCTGCGACAATCACCGCGGCATCTCCCTGCTGAACATCGCCGGGAAGATCTTCGCCCGCATCCTTCTCAACCGTCTCAATAATCATTTGGAACAGGGCCTTCTGCCGGAAAGCCTGTGCGGCTTCCGTCGTCATCGTGGGACCACGGATATGATCTTCGCAGCCCGCCAACTTCAGGAGAAGTGCCAGGAGATGCGGACCCACCTGTACTCTACCTTCGTGGACCTGACGAAAGCCTTCGACACGGTGAATCGTGGAGGACTGTAGAAGATCATGCAGAAATTCGGCTGTCCGGAGCGATTCACTCAGATGGTGCGCCAGCTGCACGATGGTATGATGGCGCGAGTCACGGATAACGGAGCTGTCTCAGAGGCATTCGAAGTGACCAATGGAGTGAAGCAGGGCTGCGTACTGGCGCCTACCCTCTTCAGTCTTATGTTCTCTGCCATGCTGATGGACGCCTACCGCGACGAACGCCCCGGGATCCGCATCGCCTACAGGACGGACGGTCACCTCCTGAATCCACGGCGGATGCACTTCCAATCGCGCGTCTCCACAACCACCGTTCACGAACTCCTCTTCGCCGACGACTGCGCCCTGAACACCACCTCGGAAGAGGAGATGCAACGGAGCATGGACCTATTCTTCGCCGCCTGCGAGAACTTCGGTCTGGTCATTAACACGCAGAAGACGGTGGTCATGCACAAACCGCCATCCAACACAGCCCCTCCCCACAATGCGCCACAGATCAGCGTGAACGGAACCCAACTACAAGTGGTGGAGAACTTCCTGTACCTGGGCAGCACCCTCTCCCGCAGCACCAAAATCGACGACGAGGTAGCCTGCCATATTTCTAAGACAAGTCAAGCCTTCGGCCGCCTTCGAAGCACAGTTTGGAATCGTCACGCTCTCCAGCTCAGCACAAAACTGAGGATGTACAAGGCAGTCATCCTCCCGACGATGCTGTATGGAGCAGACGTGGATGGTGTACACGAAGTAGGCATGCCGACTCAACCAATTCCACTTCAGATGTCTCCGACGGATACTGACGCTGAGTTGGCAGGATCGAATCCCCGACACCGACGTACTGGAGCGGACGGAAATCCTCAGCATCTGCGCAATGCTGAGACAACTGCAACTACGTTGGAGCGGCCATCTCGTGCGGATGGACGACGAGCGTCTACCCAAACGATTCTTCTATGGAGACGTCGCCAGGGGTCCCAGCCGCCAAGGAGGCCAAACCTGCCGATACAAGGATACTCTGAAGTCCTCCCTGAAGCGTCTACAAATCAATCCGGCCAACTAGGAAGACCTCGCCCGAGACCGTCCGACCTGGAGAAGGACAGTAAAGAAAGGCGCCAGGATTTACGAAGCCAACCGCATGGCCGCCGGGAAAGCCCCACCCACACCCTGTTGCTCAGTGAGCCCACCACCACCACCTCATCTCCGAAGCTGACACCGGCACGATCGACTTCTCGTGTCCGCACCGTCCCTGTACCTTCACCTCACACATCGGCCTGGTCGGTCACCTGCGAATCCATCGCACAGAGACTTGCGAACCAGTGCCTGTAGCACCAACCTACAACAGTGGACATCGTTGAATGCAACGAACTGTCAGGTGTATGCAAGGCGTTGGTTTGGTATAACAGAGCTGTTCTATCCAAATATGCGGCATTTCTCAATTAAATACACATGTGGTCTTTGTTTAAATGTCTCCATGGAATCCGCCAATAGCACTTAATCGAGAAGCCCCTTTCAGGCGCCGAGAACTCGTTGCGAAAAAGAGTACCTGCGAACGTCCAGGCTGCATCGGGATCCTCTAAGTTTTAGAGAGTTCCCACGCAGGTTTGTTGTTGTGGCCTAGGTGAATAAATCATCGAGGTGTAGGGCACAGTCCCGGTTCCTCATAATGCGGTACGCCTGTATGACATCTCCTCGAAGCTGCCTGTACTCAAGAGGAAATAATTTAAGATCGTCAAGTCTGCAGTTGCAAGTTAAAGTCTTGAGGCCTTTCACAATTCTGAACTTCTGAACTCTTCTTTTCTTCTGAACTCTTTTCAAGCAACTTAGTCTTTTTTTCAGTCACTGGCGCCACGCTTGGATTCCATATTCCAGATGCGAACCAATGAACGCTGCGTATACTTTTCCAAATAACTCTTTGTCTATATCTACGAAAGTTCGTTTAATGGCAAAGAGAACACCGGTTACCCTTATGGCCGCCCTAACGCATTGAGAGGAGGGCTTAGGAGTCGACAAAACGTTAACCCCAAGATCTTTTTGTTCGGCCACAGTTGAAAGGCACCTTCCGCCAAGCAGGTAATGGTGATCATCTCCATCGGCTCTTCCATACCAAGAAAACAGTAGCCCGGCAGAAGGATGCGAACCCCTTCTTACCTCCAGCGACAAAGTTCGATCGGTGACTCCGCTTCCAAAGGTTCTCTACAGTGCCGCGAAAACAGTTCACCTCGTCTCACCCATGTATCATCCCGCATGCGGAACATGTTTGCAGGTGGGAGTGCAGTTGGAAATACAGCGTCATCCACCGTAACTATACGTCTCCGAACCCGTTTATGTAATTTGCTCACTAACTGCCTTGTTTTGATCGCTTTGGAACACTAACATTTTCTCGCCGCTCCCCATTCCCTACCGATCTGTCGGTTGAGGCGACAGTCCCCAGCAAGCAACTAACTGCCATGAAAAAAAGGTGAATATGCCGGTCTTTTGTTCTTACTCCACAGATACGGATGTTATTTGCGCTGAGGCGAGAATTTGTGAGGTCGATAAAGAGCTGTTCGGAAAAGCCTACAGGGCATTCTCTCGGTCTCAATCAGGGTATGTAGTCTGGGCCTGGCGGCCGTGATTGAAGGATTTTCAACAACTGGAAAGAGTACAGGCGATGGCTACGAAGATGGTCAAGAATCTCGATCATCACCAGCCTTACGAAGCCAGATTGACCGAACTAAATCTGTTTCCTCTCAATTACAGGCAACTGCGCGGCGATCTCAGTAAAACCTACCGGATTTTCAGAGGCCGTCAGTGTGCCCGAAACTTTGACGAGTTCTTCGAATTGGCGGGGACGGACCGTCTGCCTTCAAACTGCAGAGGAAGCTAGCCCACATGGACGTTCGATGAAACGCCTTCGCGCGGAGGGTCATTGGAGCATGGAACGGACTCCATGATTCGGCGCCGTCCCGTCTCAGCAACAACGTGACAATACCTTAGTCGCACACTTACCAAAGCCGAGCGGCGCCATTGTGTCACCCGCAAAGAGATGCTCGCAATTACGCATTTTGTTGAGGACTGTCGACCCTATCTCCAGTACCGACCGTTCATAGTACGTACCGACCACAGCTCTTTGACTTGGCTAAGAAATTTTAAGAATCCTGAAGGGCAAGTAGCTCGCCGGCAAGAGGAGTTGCCGGAGTTCGATTTCGAATGCATCTCCCGGCCGGGTCGTCAGCATGGAAATGCAGATGTCCTTTCAAGGACACCTTATCGGCCACACTGGGAATGTCCGTCCTGTACCGACATCGCTATATCCGCCGTCGCCTTGCAAAGTGACCAATGTCTGCTCTGGGCGGCGGCTCTCCCATCTAGAACAGAAAGGCCAGTGACGTTAGACCCCTTAAGAAGCATGAATTCGAGGGGCATAGCTATGAGACTCGCTACATGCACACGTTATGGGACAAGTTATTCATCAAGAATGGCATTCTCTTCTAACGCGACACAGACCAATATCCTAAACGAATTGTCCTCCCACCTTCGATGCTCGACGACGTTGTGGCGAGGATGCATACAGAATAAGGACACGCGGGTATCTACAAGACCGAGTGGGTCCTCCGCGACGATACTACTGGCCAAAACGACAACTATTTTCGACTCACACAGTAGACGTCAGTTTCCATTTTATTGAAGAAATAAAGCATCAGAACATTTCCAACAAAACCATGATGTCCTTGGACGTTGCATCACTATTCACAAATGTACCACTGGATGAGACTATCGACATCATATGCGCCCATGCGTCCGAAACCCGCCTTTCACCAGAAATATTGCGTGACATGTTGAAACTTTGCATGAAAAACGGTAAATTTCTGTTAAATGGACGGCTATACAGACTAAATGATGGAGTGGCAATGGGAAGTCCACTTGGTCCAACCCTTGCCGACATTTTTATGGGTCGCTTAGAAGAAAAGTTCTCAGCAAAATTGAATAGGAAAACACTGTACAAAAGATATGTAGATATATTTTTGCTATTGTTGATAACGACGATGAAGCCGAAGACCTACATGTGGCTATGAACAGTCTCCATCCTAAGATTAGATTCACAATGGAAAAGGAGCAGTGCAACAAGCTTTCTTTCCTGGATGTCCTCATGACTAGACAGGAAGATGGTTCAATACGGCGATCTGTTTTCCACAAAGACACATGGAAAGGCCAATACCTGCACTTCCCGAGCTTTGTGCCAATACAAAGAAAGCGAAATTTGGTTTATACTCTAATCCAAAGAGCTAGAAACATTTGCTCTATTGAAACGCTGGATAATGAGAGTTCTTGCCTTACAACAGCCCTGCTTAAAAGGGGATATCCAACACGATTCATCGAAAAGTACAGCAACACTTTACGGCCAAAATTGACGGAGCAATCCCTTCCAAAAAAGCCCGTTATAATATCCTTACCCTTAAAGGGCGACAACATCTCTAATACCATCAAGCGGCGATTTAGATGCGCTATTGAAAGAACTTACAACTCAGCTGAACTAATCTTCTGCAGGCCTACTAAGGCTATCGAAGTCCACGGGCGAAGGATGCCTTGCCACTACACGCCAAGTCAAATTGTGTTTAAGAATTTATATGCACTTGTGGATGCAAGTACATTGGGCGAACGCAAAGGCAACTGGCAGCCAGAGCAGTTGAGCACCTGCCTAAATGGCCTCTAAAGCAGAAGAATAACATTCCACGGTCATCTATTACAAAACATCTCCTTGATAGTGGCCATTCGGTTGACCCTAAGACGTCCTTTAGAGTATTAGTTCGAGCACGAACTACTCGGTAATTGCGCTACCTAGAGACAGCCTATATACGGCGGGAGAAACCCAACCTATTTAAACAGTTAGACCACGTGGTTAACCTCAGCTTGCACTGGTAGACTTGAGCCCTTTTGATTTTAGAAATCCCTCCGCATGTTTACTTTCCCATTTTCATTCCTATGTTGCACTTTGAAGTTACCATTTTATCGAAAAGTCTACGCGCAGTATACGCTGACCTTGCTGTTTTAAATTGACTTTGTCTGTCGAAATGCAAACCTCTACCTTTCTCACTTGTTATTTGTGTTATGCAACGACAGGCTGCAGTTGAGAATCCGTCGAGAAATTTTCTGGTACCACTACATTCTACTGTCCTTGCTTGATTCAAATTCATTCCGGGGAAATATTGCTTCAACTTTTTTATTACTTTTTGCAGCAGTACGCTGTATGGTAAGGCCTCAGTCCTGCAAACCGTGGGTTCCCTACTGCAGGCATTTGCTGCGTAAGTTTGTTGAGAAATTGGTGTACAATGTTCACCTACCGGACGATGCCCTACGACATGGTCCCTTGGATAGTTTCTCGTCGTTCCCATTTGAAAGTTTCCTAAGTAAACTGAAGCGGACGCTTAGGAAACCGTCACAGCCACTGCAGCAAGTAGTACGCCGGCTAGCCGAACTACATGGTAAGTGTCAGACAGAAAGTAATCAACTGCAGTGGACTTTTAAGTATGAACAATCTCATGGCCCATTGCCAGAAACGGGTGGGTGCTTTAGTCAGTCTATCTATATAAATAACCTACTAGTCCGGACATCATCCGTTATGCATCGGGCAAGGTAGCAGTAGTTTATGTTGAGCACGATAACATAGATCACTTCGTTTATCCTACCAATTCATCGCAATTAAAGATTTCCGAGCCAACTTTAGGAACTGTACTCAGCACCTGCCCACTGCCATTATCGGTGCGCAAGTACGCCTGTTTTCCAACCGACGACGACTACGTACTAATGGAAATCCATGGACGTTGGGACGCCGAGTATCAGCAGTGCTTCGCAACCTAAGTACAATCGACGAAAAGATGATGACCCTGGACGGTATTGTTCCCTCATATACTCAGCAAAAAGGTCAGTCACACTATTGCTCTCACCGTTCATCGGTCACTTTACACGTATCCTACAACCCAACAGTCCCTGAGCTTATGATACCTGGATGGTGAAGGGAGGCAGTAATTACCAATATAGCATTCCTTACAATAACCTACTGTTTTCCTGTTGGGTTGTAGACCATCATGTCTCAGGAGTTACCTCCCAATGAGAATGAAAAGAACAAGAGGAAGTCGAAAAGCCCTTATGACTCCCTAGTTTGGGCCTAGGGGGAGATGCCAGAGGTGGCGTCGACGTCGGTAGGGCTACCTATTGTTTACCGAATTTCGGTTTCAGGGATCTGAAGGGGAGGCTACAGATTTCAGCTCAACCATACCGGGCTGTGCCACTCCAAATTACAGGGGTAAGATTCAATATACCGTATGCGAGTTGCGTAGGTCATAATCGTCTTTTTAATACACCTAGGCGAAGTGGACCGTCAGGACCTCAGCAACCTCGTCGGCGACGCCGGGCTAGTATGAGGCAGGGCCTACGATGGCTAATGCATTCCGTCGCCATGCTAATTGGCCAGGTGTCTGAGCTAAGTCAACAGTACGTAGCAATGATGAACAACGGCCACGGGTGCATGTCCAGCAGCCCTACTGAGTCCTCCAGATTCAATTTGAGTCCGGTTGGCACTCTTGAGCAGCTGGACGCCCTCACTAACGCCCTGAGCGAAGAAACTTATCGGCGCCAACTGGTATTTATGTAACTTATTTGTTTATTACTTTGCTAGGTGACGTATCTAAGCACGCTTGGTGGGGACACCGTTGTGCCTTTCGTTGACAGAGTGTTCGGAGCGCTGTTCTCCGAGGACATTACCTCCTTTGTCACCTTTTTATGGGCGACGACAAGGAAAGAGGCCGTTCTTCGGAACGCCTCTGTACAGTCTGGTTCTAAGTAAGACTTGCACTGAATGTATGCTTATGCTTTTTATTATAGAGGTCTTCGACCACTGGAATCGAGGACAGCGCTTCGACCGTCACCAGTTGGAGAGGGCAATAAAAAACGCCTTCAAGAGGGCGTATGACAGATTACTGAAAAGGCATAATAAGGCCAATATTAACAGTGAGTCTGCTATTAACATAAATGCATTTAATTTAATGGAATTTGATACGTTATTTTTATTATCGAATTTAATCTCATTCCTATACATGTTTCCGCTGTAGATTCACAAATTCAAAATGGTGGCACGGGCCCATCATCGGAGCAATGACTATTTTTGTACATTTAAAGATTTTTTTCACTGTAAATAAATTTTTTCCATTTAAATAACGCATTACTTACAGTCATTGCTAGAAATGGTATTAGCAGTAAGTATAGGGACCGGTAGGATGCAAAACCTGGATGGGGGTCTGGGGGGCAGCTGATAACGGATATAAGTAGACTGTCATTTGCCGGAAAATTTTGAGTTGCGAACGGTCGGAGTCGATTTGCCACCGTTTCGCTTGACAAGGACGCATTCGATTCGCTACCGGCCGGTCGAAACTAAGGGTACGAATCGCTTCCGATTCGGAACAAATTCGTAACGCTTTGCTATTAGGGGTGGCAATTCGACTACGACAGTTCGTAACTCAAACTTTCATAGCAGACGGCAGCCTACATATATCCGTTTTCAGCGACCCCCAGACTCCCATTAAGGTTTTGCACCCTACCGACACCTGTACTTATAGCTAATAACATTTTAGCAGTGCACGGAGGGAATTCGTAATGTAAAGAATTAATTTCAAATTTAAAAATGTTTAAATGTACAAAAATGGTAGTTATGGCTGCGTAAACGGGCCCGCGTCGCCATTGGGATTTTGTGAAACAGCAACGGAAACATGTATAGGAGTGAGATTAAATTCGATAAGAAAAAATTAAATTTTAAAGTATATTAAATAAAACGCATTCATGCTACCCGAACTTAAGAGGGCATGTTAAGAAGAGGCACACTGTTAATATTCGACTTATTATGTCTTTTCTGTAATCTATCATAACCCCGCGTAAAGGTCTTTTTCAGTGCCCGCTCCAACTGGTGACGGTCGGAGCGCTGTCCTCGGTTCCAGTGGTCGAAGATCTCTATAGTGCAGGTTCCGAAGAACGGCCTCTTTCCCTGTTATCGACCATAGAAGGTGACAAACGAGGTAATTTCTTCGGAAAACAGTGCTCCGAAAACTCTGTCAACGAAAGGCACAACGGTGTCCCCACCAAGAGAGCAGGGGTACGTCACCTAGGAAAGTAATAAACAAGTAAGTTACATAACATACCAGTTGGTGGCGATAAGCATCTTCGCCCAGGGCAATAGTGAGGGCGTCCAGCTGCTCCGGAGTGCCTACCGGACTCAACTTGAATCTGGTGGACTCACAAGGGCTGCTGGACATGCAACCGTGGCCGTGGTTGGGGTTCATAATTGCTACTTGCTGTTGACGTAACTCAGACACCTGGCCAATTAGCATGGCGACGGAATGCATCAACCAACGAAGGCCCTGCCTCATACTAGCCCGGCGTCGCCGGCGAGGTTGCTGAGGTCCTGAGGGTCCACTTCGCCTTGGTGTATTAAAAAGACGCCTATGACCTACGCAAATCGCATACAGATGTTTGAAGCTTACCCGTATGAACTGGAGACGCACGACCTGGTATGGTTGAGCTGGAGTCGTTGGCCTCCCCTTCTGATACCTGAAACGGAAAATCGGTAAACAATAGGTAGGCATACCGACGTCGATGCCACCTCTGGCATCTCCCCCAGGGCCCAAACTAGGGGGTCATACGGGCTTTTCGACTGCCTCTTGTTCTTGTCATTCACATTGGGAGGTAACTCCTGAGACATGATGGTCTACAACCCAACAGGAAAAGAGAAGGTTATCGGATACAATGCTGTATAAGTAACCGCTGCCTCCCTTCACCATTCACGTATCGTAAGCTCAGGGACTGTTGGGTCGTAGGATACGTGTAAAGCGACCGACGAACGGTGCTTCATTTATCTACGAAGAAGAATGTCCCGCATCATCACTATGCCTGTGTAAAGCAGAAACTGACGCAATTCCGCTCGCTTCCATGTGTCTACATCATTAAGAGACCTGGCACGCTGCGAAAATTGCCGTGGCAGGTGCGCATTCAGCAATTTCAGTCTTTCATTAAGCGTACTTACTGCAGCCCTTGACAATCTAAAGGCATTTTCCCTTGGGCTTCAAAGCCACAACTTCAACAGCCTCCTCATTACACCTAAGTAAACTAAATGAAGAGGGTGTAATGGAAATGAACTTATCATTCCAAGATTACTAGCTAACAACGGCGAATTACGAACTCGATGACTGCCATCAGCAGGAAACAAGAACTCCTCATCCACCCTAGAAGACTCAGAGACACTGTCATAGACTACTTTGTCAAGGTATTCGCCCTTTACACAGCACCTTTCACAACCGCGGAATGCATAAACGTTTTCAATTTGGTTGATGAATGCCCTGGCAGGCGCATCACAGATAACGGCTGCCAGACGGAACTGCAGATTTCTGTCGACGGCGTCGACACACAGACCAGAACTTGCAAGGGTTCCTAACTCTCCTACCAGCGGTCTGCAAAATGACTGAACAGGGGGCGGCGTTCCCAACCCACAATAAATTCCTACTGCAAGAATATAACTAAAAAAGGGCTGGATAATACTGCCTAAAATTGGTCAAAATTCTCTTTTCGTCTTCTTATGAATAGGAAGACCGTCGACGACAAAGTACGCTACTATCTCATCACCTACCGTGGTACTGTGGCAGTTCGCGTCTCCTTGCCCTCCGCCTTTGCCACGCTGCCTTCCAGTCCGCCTCACACGCCTTGTCGATACGCTGCTGGGGCGCGCCAGGCTTTTCGCTAGCCTTGCGAGTGCTCCAGGCCAATCAACGCTGTCCCCACTCTGATTGGCTGGCGCACACAAGCGCTGGGGCTGAGCGCACACAGACAACAACTTGCCTGGAAAGCGCGCTTGCGGCGACTGCCCACAGATCCTTTCTGTACGCACTTCCAAAACAGTAAAGGTTAACCTTTAGGCAGAATTATGAAGCCAATATTAAGTAATGTCTTCACAGTAGGTATCGTCGACGATTTATTGTCGTTGAACGAAGACGGTTTGCTGCTCGATGGGGGTGACAGAAGTCTGCGCTTCCGTCTGGCTTCCGTCATCTGTGACGCTCCAGCAAGAGCTTTCATAAAGCAGATTAAGAATGTCAATGCTTACTATGGCTGCGAACGTTGTTGCGTTAAGGGGGAGTACAACGACAAGATAGTTTATGATAGTGTCTCCGAACATGCTGGGTCAGATGAGGAATTTTTTTTCAGGGACGATGACTGCCACCGCATTGGCGTGTCGCCATTTGCTGGCGTGCAACGTAGGAATGATAAGCTCCTTACCCTTAGATCCTTTACATTTGGTGTACCTAGGTGTAATGAGAAGACTTCTTAACCTTTGACTGCGCAGCCCTAGGGACAGAGCATATAGGTTGTCTACATCGGAGGTATCCACTATAAATAAGAACTTGCGCGCGTTGAACCCCTACCTGCCGAGGGAATTTTCGCAGCGCGTTAGGTCATTAAATGACATGGACACCTGGAAGGGCACAGAACTGCGCCAATTCCTGTTGTACACTGGCGTAGTTGTTCTTCCTGGTGTGCTTCCACGCAAGTTTTGGAAGCACTTCTTACTGCTTTTTACAGCAGTACGCTGTCTAGTACGGCCTCGATCATGCAGACAGTGGGTCCCGTTTTGCAGCCGCGTATTACGCATGTTTGTCGATAAATTTGCTTCTTTGTACGGTAGGAAGGAAATGGTGTATAATGTTCACAGCATTGTGCACTTGGCGGACGATGTAAAACGACATGGTCCGCTGGACGCTTTTTCATCGTTCCCTTTCGAAAGTTACCTAGGTAGGTTAAAGCGTCTGCTGAGGAAACCATCCCAGCCACTGCAACAAGTAGTGCGTAGGTTAGGGGAATTGCAGTCAGTGGCAAGTGATGTCCACCTTCATCTGGAGTGGACGTGTAAACAACAGCATACAGATGGACCAGCTCTCGCCGGTGCCACTTTTGCTCTCTCACGCTGCACTGCGCACGCCGTGTCTCGCTCTACGTTGACATTGCCTACCCTAACTGTCTTTGACTTTGTGTTACCTTGTGTTTCCTTTTACTCTCAGTTATGTTTACTCCTGT